TATTTGAACATAAAAAGGTCACTGTACAAATCATGAAATAAATGTGCGTCTCCTATCTAGTAAGAGTAACTGCTTTATCTTCATCAATAATAGCTTTAGTCTACCTTGTAGATTCAATTCATTAAGTTTCCCAATCATAAAATTATTCCCAGTAATGGACAGAGGTAACCCAGACCAAGTCTGCTTCCTTGAACCCTCCCCCACACTACTGAACCCAGTTCACATTTTACAATAATCCTTTTCTAACACCCTCTTATTGCAGGCTCCAAAGGGCTAATGGCATGTGATTCCCCTCAAGTTTGTGAAGAAATAGCTATGTTCCTTTTCTTTGGCTGGAAGTCATTGATAATATCATTTGTTTCTCAAATATGACTTCTTTAATGGTAAGAAAATTAAGACTATGAGAAGCTAAACTTAGACCAGTTAGTCATTTGGAGGAGTTTGTTAAACATCTGTCATATACCTGTGATGTAAAGCAACAAATGTAGACTAAGGCACATTAAAATTAGTAGTTTTAGCATATTAAAATATTTTTGTATTTTATCCTATTAACTTTCACAACATATACTTATACATGATAAAATATAGATTCAAGGAAATAAATCACTGCCTAAGACATCTGGGATGGGTACTACTTGTGGTCCTTTAATTACTATCAACACTTTTGGGGCAGTGGTTACTATGTCACTGGACAAGGCCCGCAGAACTGAGATGGGCAACACTGACTTTCCTCATCTATGCAGCAGGTTGTAGGTTTAGTCCAGTTAGAACAGTGGCACTGAGAAAATCACTTCCTTCCACCCATTTGATTTTAAACAGCACCCTATAGTCATTTGTCCTTCCATTGTCCCAAGAGAAGTAGAGAATAATATAACTAAAACCTATGTAATCTCTGACTCTAGATGAGAGCCCATGGATGTTGGATCTCCTAGCCTACTCTTCAATCACTTTCACCATACTCAAACCTTATTAAGGGTTTGTAAATAAGTACTACATCTCATGTATTAAGATGATATAATTAAGATATAATTAAGATGAGAATGGATTCTGGGACAGCCATACTTGTTGAGAGCCCCTGAGATAACAGCCTTGTGTTGAGAGCCCATAACACTCTGTCAATCATTCTGTCACTCATACCTAAAGTCTGGGGGCAGGAGACCTGGGCTGAAGTGCATATCCTTTAAATTCTAAAAGCCTGCTTTATCAGGGGACTGCTGTGTACTGTGTGCTGTGTTCTGTGTGTAGTGCTTTTGCTTTCCTGTCACCTGGCATGACTTTTCTGTTCGTACCATATCTTTTGTTGGCATGGACTTTCCCTGTGCACAACTTCCCATAATCTTCAAGAAATGTAGCTGCTTTTCACTTGCTGTTAAGAGTACACTTGCAATTCATTGCTCAATGATACACAAGAGCCTGTGCTGAATTTATCAAGTGGTAACAGGTTCGCTGACTTCCATCACAGAAAACATTTTCATGATGTGTCAGTAAGTGGCATCAAGAGGATTTTAGACAGAATTTTAAAAGTGCTCACACAAAGAAATAGAGTGTGGGTCACAGAGAGAGGAGGGGCAGATAAAGAGAGAGGGAGAGGAGGGAAAAGGGAGGGAGGGAAAATAGACACCCACCCACCCATACAGACACACACACACACAGAAAGAGACAAGACACTCATTTCTTGCAGCCTTAACCTGTATACATTATACATTTATGGGTATTTGGGAGTGGAAATCTCTAGAATTTATAACTCTGTGGAAAAAGGATTCAATTACAGATAAAAGCAACAGCTTTTTCTGGGAGGGTGGTTGCCCTTTCATGTGTAATGGCCATCTCACAGATGACAGAGCTGTAATCCTTCCATAGGGAAAGCTTCATTTTATTGGTGAAAAAGAATGATCTAGTCATAGGTAGAATAGGCCCATTTACAGGTAAAAAGGAATGACCCAGGCTTATTGTGTCTTTAGGGATCTTGGAAATTTTTTACTAGGTTTGTGTCTTGAACCTGCAGTTTTTATTAAAAGTACAATTTAAAAATTATGATTTTTCTTATCTTCTTTCTACCTTTTTTTCCTATTATGCTTCAATTACAGGCCCTGATTCAGAGTGCTTTAGTTCGTAATAGAGAACACAAGCACTTATCTGACCCTGGACATGTTATTAAATGCTCTATGCTTCAGTTTCCTCAGATGTAAAATGGGAATAACAGTTATTCCAACTTCATAGAGCAATGATGAAGACTGTATTAATTAACAAATGCATTGTGCTTAGAATAGTATGTGTTACACAACAAAAGCTCAGTAAATGGGTATTTTATTGGAGTCATGGTTCAAATTGATGTTTCTGAGGCTCCACACCCTGTACTTTTTTCCAGAATTGGTAGCTTTTGTCAGGGAGGCTTTTCATAGGAAGAACAAAGTTAAACAGTATTCAATTTCATCTGTGCTAAGAAGTCTCTAGAGATGAGGGGTGTGGTGGCAAGGAAGGGTGATATCTAGATAAGATGACTTCTCTGAGTCCAGCTCCCCAGGTAAGAGGCAAACTCAGCTTGTCTAGAAGTATCCTCACAGGCACCTCCCCTGATCCTGAATCTCATCTGCCCCTGGGCCTGGGGAAATTTCTCCCTTCCCTCTGCCCCTTGTGGCCCCAAACTGTCAGTGTTAACTCTAGGGACCCTGCCTGTGGGGAATGAGTCAGTGCAAAGGAGAAAACACTGCTGGATCCTATCTTCACCTCCCATATATATACTGAGCCCAATGAGATCAAAGCAGATGATGTCCAGCAATTGGTAGGTGAGGCAGAGCCTACACTAGCTGTATCTGATATAGAAGAAATATAAATCCAAACCTGCTAGATGTCAGATGTGCCAAGTCTGTGTCCCCTGAATATCAAAGGATGATTCCAAGGGACAATGGTGGTTAAGAGTAGGAAAGGTATGAGAAAGCTCCTGAGAGAGACAGGAGGGGTCTTGAGAATGGGTTGCCACACAGGCTACTTCTCCAAGAGTTTTGTAGAGCAAAATCATGAGGTAGGTACAACATGGGTCAAATTATAATAAATTAATAAGATTACAAGTATAGCTGCTTAACTAACATTGATTCTATAGGGAAATAAGGCACATAGCAAGGGTATATGGCTAGCATCGTTAACTTTAGCTTATCTATAACTTCTAACATAGAATAAAAACATTTGGGGAAGGGATGGGTCCAGATGTTCTGGTCACAAATCTGGACATCTGATGCCTGTCTGGATGTACTGGACCAGGTGGTACTAATTCTCAAGTTGCTGTTTATTCCTTAGGGAGGTATCCAAGCTTGGCCATTGTGTCTTTATCTTGAAGATTGGCCTCAAGCCACATTTCTGATGTGTTCTCATCTTCTGCACTGACTCCCTGAAGGGCTCATCCCTGTCTTTTTATATCTTCTGCACATTGTGCTTTTAAATTAGAATGGCCAATACATTCTTTTGTTATAAAATTTCACCGTGTGAGCTATGTATTCCTCACTTGTATTTTATATGATGTGTTTCCTGAAAATATAGGAATTTTGCTTATGTCAACTTTATCAGGTTTAATATTTAAAGTGCATTCTCTCACCAAATGTGTAAATTCTCCAACTATGGCAATTATTTAAATTGATTCAAAATGTTTACCTTGCATGGCCATTTCAACTTGGGGAAAGAACCAGAAATTGCACGGTACCAGAGCACATGAATAAGGTGATTGAGGACAAAGATTTTTAAGAGAATGCCTTTCCATTGGCCACCTAATTTTTGATCACACCTCATAAAGACACTCAGGAATAGGATTTCCAGAACTGCTTTAGAAAGTGGCAAGAAGAATTGCTAAGTGTGTTCAAAGTGAGTACTTTGAAGATTAGTTGTAATGTGTCTTTCATTGCAATATTTATTTTTATTTGAACATTCAACATGTAATTTGGTCACCACTTGTATTTTCCCCTCAGTAGTACCCATAATGCAAATTAACTCATTCATTTCTGAGCTTCATGTCAGCAGAGTTACATTTGAGTTATGATAATAATCGAGACTGATCATGTCATTTATTTATGAATGTCTTCAGTGGAACCCTGTGTCCTTTGAGATAAGGTCTCAAATCACTGGGTGAGCCTCCCCAGGTCCTATACCATACAAGAGTTGTGTTTCCCTGTCTTCGGGGCATGTTTGTTGTTATTGTTGTTTGTTTTGTTTTTGTCTAAAATGTTCCTTTCCTCTTTTATCTAGCTGATCTCTACTCTCCTTGGACAATCCAGCTTGACAAATGGTTCTTCTGCAAGCCCTTTCCCATCACCCTTGTCTAAAAAAGGAGCCTCTTCCCAAACACTTGGCAGTGCTCTGTGCTTCACAGGATATGCTGAGATGATTGATGGGTGTGCCTGATTCTTCTAAAGATGTTAAAAGATTTCTGGCGGCAAAAGATTGTAGATATTGTATCTTGTTGAATTTTGCATTCCTTATGCTTGAAACATACCTGTTCAATGAATATTTAGAGGTTGACTGAACAGTTAGAAAAAACTTGCTATACCATTAATCTCATATGCAAAATTTATCCTTTTAGCTTTGACTAAATGAAAAACTATGACCTATGGAAGAGGATAGAATATTTGGGGGAAAGCCACATAGTGTACAATAAATAGCATGGAGTTAGAGTGCATAAATTGAAATTTTGTTTCTGTGACATAGCATCTGTATGGAATGGAAAAATGTCATAATGTCTCTCTTCTTTTTCTCATCTGCAAAGCACGTATAACAATGGTACTTATCTCATTGGGCATATTTAGAAGAACAGCTAGCTATTAGTATTTTAGAGTAGTATTAATAGTAGTAGCAATAATAATAGTATTTAAAGTGCTCCCTTTCAATTTTGACAGAGGGGGAGAGACAGTGGGAGAGAAAGAAAGAAAGAGGGAGAGGAGAGAGATATTAAACATAGATTTGGGAGTCCCCTTAATTCCATTTTTCTCTCTTTTTCTTGTCCATCTCAGCTTCCCATGGAGCCACACAATCACTCAAGTTTGTCTGAATTTGTGCTAATTGGGTTCCCCAATATGGGACATGTCAGGGGCTGGCTCTTTGTCTTGCTGCTGTTGGCATACCTGTTCACTATTTGTGGTAACATGCTCATCTTCTTAGTCATACAACTGGATACAGCCCTACATAAACCCATGTACCATTTTATTGGTGTTCTCTCCTTTTTGGAGTTGTGGTATACAGCCACCACCATCCCCAAAATGCTAGCTAATCTTCTCAGTGAGAAGAAGACCATTTCTTTTGCAGGATGTCTTCTTCAGACCTACTTCTTCCACTCCCTGGGGGCCTCTGAATGCTACCTTCTTACAGCCATGGCCTATGACCGTTACCTGGCCATCTGCAAGCCCCTCCACTACCCTGCAATTATGACCACAACTCTGTGTGTCAAGATAGCTGCTGGCTGTTGGACTTGTGGCTTTCTGTGTCCAATTTCAGAGGTCATTCTGATATCCCAGCTCCCCTTCTGTGACTACAATGAGATCCAACACATCTTCTGTGACTTTCCACCCCTTCTGAGCTTGGCGTGCAAGGACACATACACTAACGTTATGGTGGACTTTGCTGTCAATGCCTTCATCATCCTAATCACCTTCCTCTTTATCATGGCTTCTTATGGGAGAATCATTGGGGCTGTGCTAAAGATAAAAACAGCAGCAGGAAGAAAGAAGGCCTTTGCTACCTGTGCCTCACATCTCATCGTGGTCCTCATCTTCTTTGGGAGCATCATCTTCATGTATGTGAGGCTTAAGAAAAGCTATTCACTGACTCTTGACAGGACATTTGCTGTAGTCTATTCTGTTTTAACACCACTGGCCAACCCAGTCATCTACAGTCTTCGTAACCAGAAACTCATAACAGCCATCAAGAGAACTATCTTCCAAAATGGGGAAAGAGCTAATCCCATTCACTACTGACTTTCTACCAAGGTTCTTCCCTTATCTGAATGTTTACCTCATTAAATCTGTCTGTACCATTGACCTGGCCTTGAACAATCTTCCCATTGCCACACATACTCTAGATTCTACCTCTTCCCACCTTCTCAAAGGTTTTGTTTTCTTCTATTTTTCTTCTGTTTCCTGCATCTTTACTGGTCATATTTTTTTGCTTGATCAGTGCTAAATCAGCTTTTAAGAACATGTTAGCATCTCCATTGTTTACAAATAAAAGTATATACATTGCCCTGGCCACATGTTTCCATCTAGTTAGAGATCAGTTTTTCTGCTTTTTCAATCAAAGTTCTCCATGCAACTCATCCTCTCTTCTTCATTTTCTTTTCACTTATGCCACCCATTCCAGTCTGGCTTTGTCTTAAGCCTTCCAATCAATACTTTGCTAAGGTTAGTAATGACTTCTATGATGGCAAATCCACTTGGCCCTTCTTGTCCTTTCCTTGTCTTGAAATCTTAGCACACATGCACAGTCTTTTTTTCTAAATATTTGTCTCTTAGCTTCTATAACATCATCCTCTACCAATTTTCTATCACTCTAATGTCTTTCTCAGTCTCCTTCATCTTGTAGCACTTTCTCTTTAGATTCTCAGTTATTCGTATGGCTTTAAATGCTATTGCTATCCATGACAGGAACTTGTAAATTTTATGTCTTCAAATCAGAACTCTCTATTGAGCTTTACTCATATATCTAAGAGTGTAACCCTACCGATGTCTCTCAGGAACTTAATCTCTACATGTCAAAAATGCAATCTTTAACTTTCCAGCCCCGAAAACGTGGAGTTTTTATTTCTGTGTGTTCATGCCAGAAAATTTCAAATATTTTGCTTTGCTTCTTTTACTACCCCTGCTTCCAATTCATTATTACTGTACATCAATTCTTCCTCAAAATATATTTAATTTTTTTCATATTCTCTTTAGTGTTACTCCCATGATGTAAATCACTAATATGTCACAATTGGATAAGTAAAATAATATTCTCCCCACTGTTCTTGCTCCTACTTTTGTCCTGCTATACTTTTCCACTTCAATTTCCACGTATTTATTGGATTTTAAGCCTAAACTGGGTAAGACACCCTAAAATCAAGAAAGACTCCTAATTGCACATAAGGTAAAGTCCTCATCATACTTTATAAGGTAAAGAAAATATTTTTCTGCCTTCCCCTGCAAAATTGACTCCCTCATCTCCCTCAGCTCACTTTTCTCCAGCCACATTGTCACTGTTTCTCTTGTTATTGTTATTGTTTTGAGACAGGGTCACACTATGTAGTTTATGCTGGTCTTGAACTCACTATGTAGCTCCGGCTGACCTTGAACTCATGGTGATCCTCCAGCCTCAACCTCCTGAGTACTAGGGTTACAGGCATGCACCACCATGTCCAGCTTCTTTTTGAATTCTTCAAGTACATTAAGGTCTTTTTGGGTTTGGATCCTCAAACACTGTTTTTTTTTCCCCTAACAGTCATTGAGCTTAATCCACATAATTGTGTTGTGCTCGCTTTGGCAGCACATACACATAATTGTGTGAGTTTCTGTTCAAATATGACTTTTAAATGACACCATTTTTAAGAAAACTTCTGAACTTCCAGCCTACTTTATATTACTTATTTTTGTCTTTTCAGTTATATTTTTCTTTCAAAATATGTATAAGAATTTACATGTGTATACACAATTGTGTATATGTATCTATAAAGTGTTAAGCAGTCTTTCCTACAAGTCTATAAGCTTTATTTGATCTAAAATTATGTCAGTTTTATTACATGCCACATGTTAAAATCTAATATAATAAACATGATGAATATTCAATGAATGTGTAGTGAGTGAAAAATGTAATGAATCTTGTCCACTTGAATCATTAGCATATTTGTTCTTTAATAACTCCATCCTAATTCTAATTATCACTCATCAAGACAGGTCTACCCTTAGTTTTCTAAACAGCTAACTTCAACACATTCCACATCTGCCTTTTGAATCTTTCTGGAAAATATTGATAACTACTCTTAATCACTGAGTGTCACACGTGGTTAACTTTTCTGGATCTGATTTTCTTTATTTGTAAAATGCAGCAAGGAGGAAGCTATCTCTAGATGCTGTTCATGTTAATATTATATACTTTTAAATTTCAGATAAAACTTTCTTTTCTTGTGTGTCTTTTGTAGCTCTTGAATTCCAAGGTTAGCAAAATAGAAGGATTTATTTCTGGGTCATAATTTTCCCAGAATCTTTGAAGTTTCCTGGAATATCTATAAAATGTTTAGATATTTAAATAATTATTCCAAGTGTGAATCTTCTTAGTCATGCAGACAGATTAGTAGACTATTTGAATTTTTTTGGGGGGGAAGCAGTAAACAGCTTTATTTAGACCAGTGAAAATGACCTGGATCTTTCCCCAAAGAAATCAAGCCCAGAATATTGGCAGGGCAGCAGTTTTATAGCATTGTAAGCAGGAGGTACAGAACCAGAAGCAGAGTTTTTGGCAGTCTTTGGTTGGTTAGATATTTGTCATTTTTGAGTCCATTACACTCCTGTGGTGACAGATTACAGAAGCTGTCATGGCTACTCAGGTGCATATACAAAGAGCATAGTTACCTAGTTAAACCATAGTTGTTTAATAACACAGTTAGCTCATAGTTGTCCAATTCAGATATTTTTTGTTAAAAGTATCCATCTGCCTGGAAATTCCCTTTCAAAATCTTCTTTCCTTATCTTGTCATAAGGTACATATTGATTCAATACAAATATTGGAAAATGTTGACACAATAAATGTATTTTTCTTGCATTCAAAAAACAGTAAAACATAGTGTTTGATGAATGGAATTTTTCTTTTCATAAGATCAGTGACAGCATAAGTGAAACTCTCCTTTTCAAAAAGTTTCTCCTTTAGTTATATTTACAGAAAAAATTTGCCATTGCCTCTGTGTCTATCAAAACAATATTTTGCATCTGATGAAAGATTATTGCATGTCTTCTGCCAAGGAAGCATAGTTTGGCTGTCTTGTAGGCTGGATGCTCAGTTGTGGCTTCCAACCCCCCAAACATGGTCTCTCTGCTCAGCCTCACTCCCCTTAAATTCTTTATCTAATTCAGTACAATAGATTCACCCATTTGTGAACGCTTTCCCTCCTCTCTTGGGTTGCTGGCACCATCCTATTCTGCATGATTTCCTTCTTTGACTGCTTCTTTTCTGTCTCCTGTATTAAGACTTCTTTCCTAGATAGTCCCCTAGCTGGCTTCCCTCACCCAATCCCACTTTCATGGCATACACATGCCACTGGCACTTTCAGCCCATCCTTCAGTAAAACCTTTGTGTGGGTGACGTCCACAGGTCTGGCCTCTCTGATCCCATATTTCTAACCTCTGTGGACAGGACACAACTTTCTTTAAACTTAGATCTTCCAAAGCCTCTTCAAATTTAATGAATCCAAGACTAAATTCATTCCATTCTCACTTGACTCCACCTATTCCTCCTTTTGCATTCTCTCTCTGTGGTGACATGACCTGGTAACCTCCCAGTTCTCTGGACTGAGCATGTGAACATCATCATGGTGGGTCCTTATTCTTCTATCCCTCCGCCTGCATCTAGTTGTGTCCAGACTCCACAGATCTGCCCTCCAACATGTCCCTATTTCTTGTTATTGCTAATAATTACTATTTCTCCATTTGGTACCTAGAAGTATGTGGAAAGCAGAAGGCTCCTACACTATCCTTTCCTATTTCTTATGACAGCATCTTCCTCCTCTCTCTTACATCTCTCCTGTAATGTTTTAATGCAGAATAACCTAAATTTTCATAGAAAACTGAAAACAAAAGTATTCAGAAATCAGAGACTGAATCTCAGTGGTAGAGCATTTGTGTAGTATGTGTGAGACCCTGAATTTGACCCTCATCCCTGCAAAAACAAACAAAAATGGATTTGGAAGTCACAGAAAAAAATTACTCAACTTTATTTTGATATGCTTAATAGTTTCTTTTAAGCTACCTCTCATTCTCTTTAAAAATCCACCACAGTTCAACTACATTAAATGCAATGTGCCTCTACTGTTCTACACACTGAAACAACTCTACCATGCAGTACTTCCAGTTTGCCAAAGGAAAGAAAAATGCACAAGCTGGATAGCTAATTACTAATTTGTTAAATCAGTGAAATATACCCACAAAGAACTACACAGTACATAAATGTGCAACTCCATGAACTTTCACAGGCTGAAATGCAATCTTGTTATGGAATGAGCATTCAAAACAGAGCACCGCAAAAATCTCCATAACCTTCTTGTGCTTCCTTAACTTCAGCCTTCTATTCTGCTTCTCCCACAGGTGCAAATAGACCCTGACATTCAACATTGCAGATTGGTTTACCATGTAAGTATTTTACATAATTTGATTCTTACAATATTCTCTTCATAATAGTGTCAGATTTCTTTCATACAGCATTGAGTATGAAGTTGATCCCTTCAGTTACATAGTTGTAGCTTTTCCTCTTCTCATTGCTGTGTGAGTATTCCACAACTTATATATATATTTTATTTTGATAAATGCTTTAGTGATTTTCAACTTGCGCTATGATAAATAGCACTACTATGAACATAATTATACATACTTTTCAGTAAACACGTGTTCTCTTTTCACTTGGATAAATTTCTAGAAGTGGACCAGTTGAGTCACTGGCTGTGTATACATTCATCTTCAGCAGACACTGCAAAGTAACTTTGAAAATGATTAGAACAGTTGGATTCTTATAAGCAGGGAAGATAAAGTGATCAGAAAAAAGCAAAACTCATTAATAATATGATAAATGAAGAAATTTCAAGGAAGATAAATTCAGTTGAGTCTTAAAATGTTTTATAAGAAGGATTAAAGAATAAACAAATTTAAATAAAATAATCAACATAAGCAAAGGCACAGAGGAGAGAAAATGTGAACTATATTTAAAGAGCATCAAATAATGCACTTTTAAATTGTTTTCTTTT